AGACCCAGACCCGGTGGCTTAAACTCACACTGGGCGCGTGTGTGTGCGTGCCCAAGATCCCGAGAGGAGAATGGAGGAGAGGGGATTGCGGTGTGGCCATACCCCCTGGGGAGGTGATTTCTTGCTTTCTCTCTCTCTCTCTCTCTCTGAGTGCACGTGCCCTATAGCAAACACCTCTCAAAAAGGAAAAAGAGGAGACGGAGAAGGGATTGCAGTATGACCATTTCCCTCAGGGGTGCTTTCTGCTCTCCGTCTCTGTCTCTAGCTAGCACACGTGCCCTCTAGCAAACAAAAAAGGAAAAGAGTGGGGGGGGGGCGTACAGGGGTGAAATCTAGGCGCCCTCCTGGAGGAGGTGACAGTGAGCAGTGTCCCCTCCCCTCCTCTGGCTGCAGGACCCTGAAGACCTACTGGGTGAGCAAAGGTAGCGCCTTCAGCACCAGTGTCTCCAAGCAGGACACGGAGCTGAGCCCAGAGATGATCTCCAGGTCTGGGGTTCCCCGAGTCGGGGGTGGAGCGGGGTGATCGTCCTCGCCAGACCCTGAGCCCCACTTCCCCCCACAGTGGCTCCTGGCGGGACCGACCCTTCAAGCCCTACAACTTCCTGGCCCGCGGCGTCCCCCCAGACTGCGGCCACCTGCACCCCCTGCTCAAGGTCCGCTCCCAGTTCCGACAGATCTTCCTGGAGATGGGGTGAGCCTGGGGCCGGGGGCGGGGCCGGCTCTGCCGCGGGCACAGGCGGGGCAGTCAGGCCGCGTCTCCCACCAGGTTCACCGAGATGCCGACGGACAACTTCATCGAGAGCTCCTTCTGGAACTTCGACGCGCTCTTCCAGCCCCAGCAGCACCCCGCGCGGGACCAGCACGACACCTTCTTCCTGCGAGGTGGGCGGGCCCCAGGGCCTGGCTGGGCGGGCCTGGGAGGGTGCGCTGGGCTGACCGGAAGGAGCCGGCCTGCTGTTTTCTAGCGGTCCAGGAAGGGCTGTGCAGTGCAGCGGTTCCGCCGTGAACGTGGCGAGCTGGAGCCCGCATGGCCAGCTCCAGTTCTAGTCCCAGTCCCGGCTGTTTGAAAGACTTGCCCTGGGGCATGGTGTCTACAGCACTGGACACCCATATGGCCGATCACAGTTCAAGTCCTGGACCCAGCAGCTTAAACATCCCACCCAGCACGTCTGGGTGCATACTCAGAATCCCGAGAGGAGAATGGAGAAGGGAATGCAGTGTAGACGTCCCTCTTGGGGGGTGATTTCTTGCTTTCCCTCTCTCCCTCTCTGCCTTTCTCTGGGGGAGTGCATATGCCTTATGGCAAAAAAGGAAATAACATGGTCTTTCCTGGAACTAAGACGAGAGGAGGTGGAGGAGTGAGGGGGGGACCGCACAGCCACCGTCTGGACTCCGTGCAAGGTCTGTCAGAAATGCCCACTGATCGGGACCAGCAGTTAGCATAACGGCTATGTCGCTGGACTCCCATGTAGCCGACCGCAGTTCGAGTCCCGGACCCGGTGGCTTAAACTCACGCTGGGCGCATGTGCGTGCCCAAAATCCCGAGAGGAGAATGGAGGAGAAGGGATTGCAGCGTGGCCATCCCCCCAGGGAGTGATTTCTCGCTTTCTGTCTCTGTCTCGCTCTGTCTTTCTGGCAACAATATGGGCCCTATAACAAAAACCTCTCCAAAAAAAGAAAAAATTGAAATGCCCACTGACCAACCAGCGGACGCTCTGTCCTGCCCAGATCCAGCTGAGGCCCTGCAGCTGCCGATGGACTACGTGCAGCGGGTCAAGCGGACCCACTCTCAGGGCGGCTACGGCTCGCAGGGGTGAGGCAGCACTGGGCCTGGGGGTGTGGAGGGGAAAGGGCCCTCAGGCCAGGCATGGACTCCTCGCCTTTCTTCCGGAAGGTACAAGTACACCTGGAAGCTGGACGAGGCCCGCAAGAACCTGCTGCGCACGCACACCACGGCGGCCAGCGCCCGCGCCCTCCACCGCCTGGCGCAGAAGGTACAGCTTGGCCGGGGAGGCGGGGAGGCGGCCGGGGAGGCGGGGAGACCATGCCACCTGCTGGTCCCTTTTTCTTTTTTTAATATTAAGAGGTTGTTGCTTGGACCAACAGATGGCTTAATGGTTATATCGCTGGGCTCCCACATAGTCAATCATGGGTTGAATCCCGGACTCAGCAGCTTAAAACTCACGCTAGGCGCGTGTGCGTGCGTGCCCAAGATCCCGAGAGGAGAATGGAGGAGAAGGGATTGCGGCACGACCATTCCCCTTGGGGGGTGATTTCTCACTTTCTGCCTCTTTGGTGAGCGCATGTGCCCTAGCAAAAATCTAAAATAAAAAAGTATTTGCCATAGGGCCTGTGCGCTTGCCAGAGAGACAGTGAGAGAGAAAGTGAGAAATCAACCCCGAGGGGGGTTGGCTGCACCGCAGTCCCTTCTCCGTTCTGCTCCTGGGATCTTGGACACGCACGCCCAGTGTGATTTTTAAGCCACTGGGTCCAAGACTTGAACCATGGTCGGCCACGTGGGAGTCCAGTGCGGTAACCGCTACGCCCTCTGCTGACCCCCGGCATACGGCCCTCCTGACCCTTGCCCGGGCCTGGCCCGGCTCTCGCCGCTCTCAGAAGCCCTTCACGCCCGCCAAGTACTTCTCCATCGACCGCGTGTTCCGGAACGAGACCCTGGACGCCACGCACCTGGCGGAGTTCCACCAGATCGAGGGTGTCGTGGCTGACCACGGCCTCACCCTGGGCCACCTGATGGGCGTCCTCCGGGAGTTCTTCACCAAGCTGGGTACACGGGCTGCTGCGCCCGGTGGGGGTTTGGGGGGCGCGGGGGGAGGGGCCCAGGTGACCCGCCTCTTCTTCCCCGGGCCCTGCAGGCATCACCCAGCTGCGCTTCAAGCCGGCCTACAACCCCTACACGGAGCCCAGCATGGAGGTGTTCAGCTACCACCAAGGTGAGGGGGGACCCCGTCCTGGGTCGAGGAGGGCCCCGGGCTCCCCACAGCTCAGCCCGGGACACCCACTGCCCGGCACCAACCACACACGATGTCCCTCTCCCGCTCCCTTGCAGGCCTGAAGAAGTGGGTGGAGGTCGGGAATTCCGGGGTGTTCCGCCCCGAGATGCTGCTGCCTATGGGGCTCCCCGAGAATGTGTCCGTCATTGCCTGGGGCCTCTCCCTGGAGCGGTGAGTGCCCAGGCGGGACTTCTGGGGAGGGTGGGGCACACTTGCCAGGCCTGAGCCTGTGGCCCGTCAGCCCCCTCATCACTCAAACGCCGAGGAGTGAGCACCTGCTTTGTGCCTGAACTCGTGTGTCTGACAACACACATCCCTGCCTCCGTGAAGCTGGGGTCCCGGCAGAGCGAGAGGGGGGCTGTAGAATAAAGGGGCAAACAGGCTAGGGTGTGTCTGAGGCCACTGCGTGCTACAGGAAGAGTGAAGCAGGGCGGGCCAAGGAGACCAGGTGGTCTGGGAGGGCTTCATGGAGGAGGCAAAGGCTGGAAGTAGGTAAAGAAGGGAGCTGTGAGGATATGTGGGGAAGGGGTCCTCCAGGCGGCAGGCACAGCCAGGGCAAAGGTCCCGAGGTGCAGGTGGGGATGTTCCTGGTTTCTTTGGAGAACAACTAAGAGGGCCAGTGAGGTTGGAGGGATAGAACGGGGTGGAGGGAGGTGACAAGGCTGACGGTGTGGGGCCTCACGGGCCACAGGAAGGACTGGCTTTTAGCCCGAGGAAGGTGGGAGCCACGGAGGGTTCCGAGCAGAGAGCGTGGCCCGACTCGGGGTTAAACTCCGTGTGCACCCCCACAGCCCGACGATGATCAAATACGGCATCAACAACATCCGTGAACTCGTGGGGCACAAGGTGAACCTGCAGATGGTGTACGACAGTCCCCTGTGCCGCCTGGACGCAGAGCCCGCGGCCCCGCGCACACAGGAGGCTGCGTGACCTGGGCCGTCCCGGGCCAGCCCGGCCCCCTCGCATCCCTCGCCGGTGACCCCCCTGTATTTATGAGGCCTCTGTGAGGCCACACATGCAATCCCCAGTCGGAATCTCCTCCTCCCCGCCCATCCTGGAACCAGAGTCCTAGGGGCCTGGGAGCAGCAGGTCCCCCGTGGTCTGTCACCTCCGAGGGGAGCCTTGCAGGCCGGTCACTGTCTAATAAAGCGGGCAGCAGCCCTGTCACCTCTGTGGTCTGTCACCTCCGGCAGGGACCGTGGGGGCCTTGCAGGCCGGTCACTGTCTAATGAAGTGGGCAGCTGCCCTTCCTTTGGGTGAGGGTTCCTGTCCGGTGCCTCCGGGTCAGTGTGTGGCTTGATGGGAGAAACGGGGTGCAGCCCTGGGTCTGGGGTGCATGCGGGGGCTTGGACACCGACTTGGGCCAGCTCAAGCCAAGGGATACTAGCCCCAGGGAGCATTTGCTGACCACGTACTGGTACCGGGCCCTCTTGTCTGGACACGAGGAACACACACCTGCCCTGAATTTAGAAGGGGGGAACCGGCAGGTGGCAAGGAGGTTAAGGGCACTGGATTCCCACATAGCCGACTGTGGTTTGAGCCCCGGGCCTGGCGGCTGGCTTTCTCATTTTCCCTCTCCTTCTCGCCTTCTGTCCTTCTGGGTCAAGTTTAAATAAACAAAGCTTAAAAAAAAAGGAAAAAGCATTACTATCATTCATGCCTCTGGAAAATACATTCATCTGGGACCAGCAGGTAGTATAATGGTTATGTTTGCGTCCCGGACCCGGTGGCTTAAACTCACACCGGGCGCTTGTGCATGCGGCCCAAGATCCCCCGCGGTCAACTATGTGGGAGTCCAGCAACATAGCCATTACACTAACTGCTGGTCCCCTTCTCCCTCTTGCTTTTACTCTGTTCCTCTCTGGTCAAATTAAAATAAATAAAGTTAAAATAAATCTTAAAAAAAAAAAAAAAAAGGGGGGGGAAGAGATGGGGCAAACAGCCCATGCTGTGGGTTAAGGCAGCTGGTCTTACATGGCTGACCGCAGTTTGAGTCCCGAACCCAGCAGCTTGAGAAACGTGCTGGCCACGTTGCACACCGTGCTGAGAGGAGGGGGCCAGAGAAGGGCCCGCAGCATGACCTAGCCTCATGGGAGCCATGAGAGAGGGAGCAAAAGCAAGCCACCAGGTCAAGGACTTGAACCGTGATCGGTCATGTGGGAGTGTCCAACACATTAACCACCATGCCACCTGCTGGTCCCAATAAAATAAAAAGAAAAAAAACCTTAGGGAACATTTGGGAAGAGGAGCTCAAAGTGGCTTTTGGGCTCATGAACCAGGATTTCTCCTAACTGCTGGGAGGCAGGGTGTGGGCGGAGGTGTGCTGCTCTTTTTTTGGAGAGGTTTTTGCTATAGGGCGCATGCGCTGGCCAGAAAGACACAGAGAGACAGAAAGCGAGAAATCACCCCCAGGGGCTAGCCACGCCGCAATCCCTTCTCCTCTCGGGATCTTGGGCACACATGTACATGCACCCAGCATGAGTTTAAACCACCAGGTCCAGGACTCAAACTGCGGTCGACTACATGGGAGTCCAGCGACATAGCCATTACACCACCTGCTGGTCCCTCCAGCTTTTATTTTCAAGCCAACAGGTCCAGAACTTGAACCACAGTCAGCCATGCAGGAGGCTGGTGCCCTAACCACTATACCACCTGCTGGCTACCCACACATGTTTGTTGGGGTTTTTTTTTTTTTTTTGGAGAGGTTTTTCGCTACAGGGCGTGTGCGCTTGCCAGACAGACAGAGACATAGAGACAGAAAGCGAGAAATCACCCCCCAGGGGGGATGGCCTCGCCACAATCCCTTCTCCTCCATTCTCCTCTCAGGATCTTGGGCAGGCACGCACACGCGCCCGGCATGAGTTTTAAGCCACTGGGTCCGGGACGCGAACCGCGGTTGACTACATGGGAGTCCAGCGACATAGCCATTACGCTAACTGCTGATTACCCCCACACATGTTTTTCAAGCCGCCGGGTCCAGGACTCAGATTGGGAACTTGTCTATGTGGGATCCACTTGCCTTAACTGCTGCCACCTGGCCGCCCCCCCAGCTCCCCTCTTTCTTTTTTATTCCTGATGGAACACATGTGTACATACACAAGTGCCAGAGCAGGGAAATCCACTTCCTTTAGCCTCTCTCGGGGCAGATCTTGGGCACTCGTGGGCATTTCAGGCTGAGGGGACAGGGGATTCAAACCCCAGTCACCATCTGGCACCACCTCTGCACGCCTCACAGTTAACTGTTTGTCTTTTTGATTTGCAAGGCACCTGTGTAATTCAACCAACAGTTACTTCTTAAGATATATGTACACCTGGGGCCGGCAGGTGGCATGGTGGCTAAAGATGCTGGATTCCCACATGGCCGACTGAGGTTCGAGTCCCGGACCTGTGTGGCTTGCTTTCTCGACTTCCTTTTCTCTCTCTCTCTCTGTTTCTGTCTGATCAAATTAAAAAATAATAATAACAAGTGGAAATAAAGAAGTTTTTTTAAATGGTATATATACACTTTAAAAATATTTTCTCCAATCATTCTTGGGGCTGTTGTTATTGTAAAGGAATTACTATTACTACTATTATGGGATGCCAACCCTTAAGGGCCAGAGCCCATCATGCTTTGAAGCAGCTTCTAGCTTTGAGAGTGCACAGATAACTCTGATTCAAAGTAGTAAATGCCATTAGTTTTAAACCAAGAGCAATAGGGAGCCACGGTTGCACCCAGAGGATGGCATGACAGGGATTTTTTTTCCCCCTGGATAGATTTCTTTGCTATAGGGAGTGCAGGTTCACTGTAGAGACAGAGAAAAAAAAAAAAAAAAACAACAAAAAACAAAAAACCAAAAAACAAGAAATGACTGCCCAGGGCGGATGACCACACCGCAATCCCTTCTCCATTCTCTTCTGGGACACACACACGCGCGCCGGGCGTGACTTTCAAGCCCCCGGAACTATGGTCATCTACATGGAAGTCCAGCCACGTAACCATTACATCATCTGCTAATCGAGGCGGGGATTTATTTACTGGAAGCATTTCCAAAGACAAAGCCGTTGAGCAAGACACGAAGACAAGCTCTGGCTGCACTTAAGCAAGCTCCAGCCGCTTGTGGGGGGGACCGGAACGCCACGCACATGCGCATACGTGCGGAGAGCCCACTCATCCTCAGGCGGTGGCAAGTGCGCGTGCAGCCCCAGGACCCACCAGCAGCAACTGACCGGTTGGCGCCGCTCAGCTGCGCGCGCAGGTCTTTATAGGGGGCGGGACCAGGCGCACGTGTAGGGGGCGGAGCACGGCGGGGGCGGAGTCGGCGCATGCGCAGAAGGCACGAGAGTAAAGGCGGGAAAAGACGGGATGGAGCGACCGGGAGTAAGCGGCTCTAGTTTCCTTCGCGAGGGAAGCGGGTAGAGGGGCAGGGAGCAGCCGCGATTCTAGGATTACCCCAGGGAACCGTACCGGCCACTTACCTCTGGCCATCGGGGACTGTCCCTCGTCTCTGTCCTTCCTGGCTTCGATTTCCTGACTGACCGACCAAGGCCTGACTGACGGATGGGCGGTGTGACTGAGGTGCCCACAGCGTCCGCCACTTCCACGCACGGCCGGTGCCTGAAGCAGAGTGGAGAGAGGCACAGACACCCATGAGATGTACCAATATCTCTTATTTTTTAGAGGTTTTTGCCTGAGGGTGTGTGCCCTCACCTGAAAAACTAAGGCAGAAGAGACAGCAACAGTAAGGGGGAAAATGAGGACTCCCCTCATCCCCCTCCTGGGGCATGCAGGGATCCAGCATGATTTTCTTTCTTTTTTTTTTGAGAGGTTTTTGCTATAGGGCGGGTGCGCTCGCCAGACAGAGAGAGACAGAAAGCGAGAAATCACCCCCCAGAGGGGATGGCCACACCACAGTCCCTTCTCCTCCATTCTTCTCTCGGGATCTTGGGCACACACGCACACACGCCTGGTGTGAGCTTCAGCCACCGGGTCCGGGATGAGAACCACAGTAGGCTACATGGGAGTCCAGTGACATAGCCATTATGCTAACTGCTGGTCCCAACCCCATGATTTTCAAGCCACCATGTCTAGGACTCAAACTGCAGTCAGCCATGTGGGAGTCCAGCGACATAACCACTATGCCAAATGCTGGTCTCTCTTCTTTTTCTCCTATTCTTTTTCTTGGAAGGACTCAGAGCTGACACAAGCCAGTTAGGTGCTCAGGACCCAGCAGTGCATCTCTAGGACATCCTCTGCCCTCACCCTGCCCTCTCCAGAGGGACCCCTTGCCCTCATCCCAGTGGTGCCCGCTCCAGCTCCTCCTGTCTCTTCGTTGGGTCCCCACCAGGGAACATCAAGGTGCCCAGGGTTAAAAGGTCAGAGGAGGGTGACTGACCCCTTTTTGGCCTCTCACATGCTGGCTGTGCTCACAGGTGGACCTGCCCCACGCAGAGTGCAAGGACCCAGAGCCACAGCTACAGGCGGAGAGCAAGGAGCATCTGCAGGGCGAGGAGAACTGCGAGGAGGAAGGTGATCGAGGGCCAACTCGGTGAGGACAAACTGGCCCACTGGGTCCGCACAGGTCTCTAGGTCTTCATTGACCCATTTCTTCCCCCAAAGCTCTACCAGTGTCTGCTCTGGGCATACTCCACAGACTCATGGAGCATCCTCCATGTACTGGGCACTGTTCTAGGGGCTGAAGATACAGCAATAAGCTGATGCACTAGAGGAGCTGGACAGAAAAATCCAGAATACAAAGGGTCTCCACAAAGTTTATGGAAAATGCATATAATGAAAAACTATTCATTAATTTAAAAAATGTGAAGGGATTGAGGTATGGCCATCCCCCTGGAGGGTGATTGCTCACTTTCTCTCTGTCTCTCCAGCAAACACACACACTCTATAGCAAAAATCTCTCTTAAAAAAAAAAGTCTTACACTAAAAGAAACTCTAATTTTATTTATTTATTATTCAAGGTTTTTTGCCATAGGGTATATGTGCTCATCAGAGAGAGATAGACAGAGACAAAGTGAGGAATCACCCACTTGGGAGAAGACCATGCCACAATCCCTCATCCTCCATTCCCTTCCTGGAACTGTGGGTACACACGCACATGCGGCTTGTATGAGTCTCAGGCTGCCAGGTCTGCAGTCGGGTATGTGGGAATCCAGCACCTTAACCGCTATGCCACCTACTAGCCTTTTATTTTTTATTTAATTTTTTAGGGAGATTTTTGCACACTCGCTGGGGAGACACAGAGAGATGGCAAAAAAATCATCCCCCCCCCAGGGGGGAGGGATGGCCACACCATAGTCGTGTTCTCCTCCATTCTCCTCTTGAGATTTTGGGCATGCATGCAAATGTACCCGGTATGAGTTTTAAGCCACTGAATCCAGGACTCAAACCATGGTCCACTACATGGGAGTCTAGAGATGTAACCATTACGCCATCTGCTGATCCCCTCTTATTTATTTTTAAAATTATTTGAAATCACTTTTTCTTAGCATTTTTAAAAATTATTATTTTATTTATTTATTTTAATTTTGACCAGAGAGAGGGACAGAGCAAGAGTGAGGGAGAGAAAGAGAGAGAGAGGGAAACTGAGAAAGGAAGCCACCAGGTCTAGGATTCAAAATACAGTCGGCCATGTGAGAGTCCAGCACCCCTAACTACCGCGCCACCTGCCGGCCCCCCCTTAAAATTATTAAAAAAAATAATAATAACTGGGCCAGCCCGTAGCATGTGGGTTAAGGTGGCTAGATCTTACATGGCCAGCTATGTGGTTCAATTCCCAAACTTGGCAACTTGAAAAACATGCCAGGTGCATATATGTGCATGCCTAAAATCTCAAAAAGAGAAATGGAGATAGGATTGCAGCATGACCATCCCCCCATGAGGAATGCTTTCTCCCTTTTTCTTTCTCTCTCTCTCTGTCTTTCGTCAGTGAGAAGACACACCCTCTGTAAAATTTATTAAAATTTTCTTTCTTTTTTATTTTAGAGGTTTTTTTTTGTTTGTTTGTTTTTGTTTTTTTTTTTGCTATAGGGCGCATGCACTCACCAGACAGACAGAGAGAAACAGAGAGACAGAAAGCAAGAAATCTGTCCCAGGAGGGATAGCCACGCTGCAATCCCTTCTCCCTTCTCCTCCATTCTCCTCTCGGGATCTTGGGCATGCACGCACACGCACCCGGCATGAGTTTTAAGCCACTGGGTCTGGGACACAAACCACAGTCGACTACGTGGGAGTCCAGCGACATAGCCATTCCACTAACTGCTGGTCCCTTTTTTTGTTGTTGTTAAAATTTCATTTCATCTGTGAGAGAGAGGGACAGCCACTCCCAATAGGATCCTCATGTTGTGATCCACCCCAGTCTCAGCCAGTCCTGGGTCATAGGCCTGCTGTCTGTGTTCAGGGAAGTCTGCAGAGGCAAACCTGAAACTTGCCATGTGAGTTAGCCCCATAGAATTTTGAATTTTACTGCTGCACTACCATATGCACCCCAAGTAAACTCTTACTTTAATTCAATTTTCTCACAAACTTAAAACATTTTCTCTGGGGCCAGCAGGTGACACGGTGGTTAAAGGCACTGGATTCCCACATGGTTGACTATAGTTTGAGTCCCAGACCTGGTGGCTTGCTTTCTTGCTTTCCCTTTCTCTCGCTCTCTGTCTCTCTCTAGTCAAATTTAATAATAATAATAATAATAATAACAAATGGAATTAAAGTAGATAGCAAAACAAAACAAAACAAACCTATGGAGCAGGCAGGATCTTGCTCCAGATGGAGGAAGGGCAACTGCAAGTGCTCAGAAGGAGGACTGCACTGGAATATCAGACCTAACGTAGTTAGTAAGAGATGCAATCAGACAGGTAATGGGGCTTCAGATGTGAATATAAGCTTTTGGATTAGGCCAGCAGGTGGCGTTGTGGTCAAGGCGCTGGATCCCGCCCGGGATTATTTGAGTCCCAGAACTGGTGACTTGCCAGGCGCATGTGTGTATATGCCCCCAATTTTTTTTTAAATTTTATTATTTATTTTTCTTTTAAAATTTGCTTTTGGGCATATGCACCCACCAGAGAGAGACAGAGAGAGAGGGAAAATGAGAAAGCAAGCCACCAGGTCCGGGAACTCAAACCACTATCAGCCATGTGGGGGGTCTAGGGCCCTAACCTAATGGCAGAACTCTAAAAAGAAAGGGGTGGGGGTTGGATTAGAGTGACATGATGTGACTACAGCTTGGATCACTAGACTGTAGTTAATGGAGTTTTATGGGAACACTGCCCTGCTTCTTCCTTTACATATTGTCTGCGGCTTCGTCTGAAGTGCTGAGCTGTTGCAACCGAAACCACATAGCCTGCAAAGCTGAAAAGATTTACCGCGATGCGGCCCTTTATAGCAATTTGCCGTCTACTGACTAGAGCATTAAAGGGCTCCCCCTGGTGGCCATGTGGAGAACGGTTCTGCAGGCAGGCGTGGAAACATGGAACCCTGTGAGGTGGCAATTGGAAGAATCAGCGTGCAAGATGAGTGTGATTTGGCCCATGGTGCATCTGTGGAGGTGCTGAGAAGGGGTCAGTCTGGATATTTGCAAGATCTTCAAAAAGTTAATGGACGTCAGCCCCGTAACCTAGTGGTTAAGAGATCCAGATCCCTTAGGACCAGCAGTTGGCATAATGGCTATGTTGCTGGACTCCCATGTAGTCAACCGCAGTTCGAGTCCTGGACCCAGTGGCTTAAACTCACGCTGGGTGCATGTGTGTGCGTGCCCAAGATCGCGAGAGGAGAATGGAGAAGAGATTGCGGCATGGCCATCCCCCCTGGAGGGTGATTTCTCGCTTTCTGTCAGTCTCTGCCTTTCTGACGAGTACACGTGCCCTATAGCAAACACCTTTCGAAAAAAAGGAAATTTCACCTCGTGTTAGGTTGCAGTCAAAATGCACAAAGATATGGTGTACAACTACCTTCAGGCTGTCACATGAGAAGGAACCAGTCAGGAGGCATTCTAGAGCCATGTCCAGGCAGAAGGAGCCACCTGTATGAAGGCCCTGAGGCGGGAATGAACCTGCTGGGTTCCCAAACCAGAAAGAAGGCTGTTGCATCAGGCATTGTGATTGGCAGCAGGGATACCCCAGTCTGCCAAAGAGACCTGTTCATACCCTCTAAGGGCTTCCACTTAATGAGGAAAGCAAATCCTGAACACACTGACACGGCAGAGTTGAGTCTGCTGGGACACCGTTGCCCAATGGGCGGCTGGCTATGAGTAGGGAGCCAGGGAAGACAGAGTGGAAGG